GGGAACAGCAGCTGTACCTTGTGATTCTGGTAGGAGGTCACGGAGATGAAGGAAGTCTCTGGAAACACGTGGGTGCAGAAGGCTGTGTTTTTGGAGCCAAAAGCGTTGTTCTCATCTGCCTTCACAATGTGTAGCCGTGGCTGGTACTTGTGCATGGAGTTGAGGATGATCTGGAAGATAAGGGTCTTGTTCTGAGCTTCAGGTCCTCACCCCCTGGCCCTTGGCCTCTTTCAGCTGGCCCTAGACTGGCTTTCATCTCCTAAAAGCCCAGGTCCCAGCACCTGACTACAGGGACTGAGCCCAGGAAGTTCCTGAAGTTCCCATGTGAAGAACCAGGCCCCTGGGCCCCAAGCTCAACCCCCACAGCCCCTACTTGGCCTCTCTGCTCCAGCACCAATGCCTGACCCCAGGACCTCCCTCATGTTAGATGACTTCACTGTGGCAATGGAGAGCTTAGCAGCTTAAAGTCCCCAATGAACTCAGCACAGTGTAATAGGTGGAATTCCGAGTTATAGGCAAAAATCCAGAGTGCCACAGACTCACTGTCTGGCCTCAGACAAGTCACTGGACGTCTCTGAGCCTCAGTTTTTGTATCTATAAAATGGTATCATAATGCATAACTTACCTCCCTCAGGTTTTCCCCTCCAGATTGACTGTTCCCCTTGCCTCTCCCTCTTTTCTCCCACCTCTTTGCCCTATTGACCCCCTCCCTACTGCTTATGTGTGACCTACCTTCCCTAGAAATGCCCAAAGTGGGGGCTCAGCCCCCTCCTCACATTTGTCAGCAACAAAAGCAGCTTCTCAGCCCAGAAGTCTGTGGAATGGGGGAGGGAGGGAGCTAAGGAGAATGGTGCACTCTGACCTTTGTCATCTAGTCACTCCTTTGTTCATTCCTTCTCAGCTTTCACAGAGGCCTGCTGAGGGTAGCTGGGAGACTCAGCAGTGTCCTGTCCTGAGACCTGCCCAAGGCCACTCACAGCCTAGAGGGAAGCTCCATCCCTGGCTGGAGTTCAAGGTACCAAGGTAGGAGACAAGCAAAGTGTTGAAATAACGCCAGAGGAATAATGCCAAAGGAGGCCAAAGGCCCCAGCATGCCGGGGGCGGGGCAGTGGGTCACCCTGATGGCCAAAGCTTATGAAAGAGCCCAGGAGGCGTGGCCCTGGTGCCCCGGGAGTAACACACAGTAGTGGCTGCCCCAAACCTGCTTCGTTCGGCTGTGCCCCACGGTAGCGGCTGCATCATGTGCCATTAAAATGTATTTTTTATCGTTGACATTTGCCAGACACACTCCCCATTGGAGGCAGGACCAGGAATTTGGGGCATTTTATCAGCACGGCTGCTTTTGTTAACCCTTTGGCTCCTGTCCTGGCTAGGCTAGGCTGGCCCTCAGGTCCCAGTCCCCTCTGAGTTCCTGTCTCTCCTTTCTCTCCACCTGGTGCTAAAGCTTTGTGAAAGACTTCACCTTTGAGTTACCAGAGTGCACAGAGAAGGCCCAGGGCCAGGCTCTCCCATGGGAAGTGGGCAGAAGCCTTAGTCTGGGGAGGCTCTACTCTTGTCACCTCCTGGGACAGGGACAGCCCAGAGCACAGGTTTGGCTGAGGAAGTAGGTGGCCAGGAGCTGGGCTGTGGGCTCTGGCCTTCCCTGGGTTCCTTGGTTTTGACCAAGTAGCTCTGTCCATCAGGAACTAGCTTTTCTGCCTCTGCACCGGCTATTACCCCTTAGCCCTCAGTGACAAACCTCTGGACCCTCTTGGGACAAGTACAGAGCTTCCCAAACCCCAAGCCAGGTCCTGTAGCTGGAGACCCACTGCCCGCTGGGGCCTGCTGGACAAGAAACACACAGTGAGACTGAGGACACAAGTCGTGCAGGGACAGCCCTGGTTCATACTCTGAACTGTCTCTTACGGGGTTTGGGGACAGCCTCCTCCCTGTCTCCATCTACTTCCTCTCTATTTCACCTGTGACACATCTGGTCAGGTCACTCCCTGCTTAGAACCTTGTGGCTCATTCAGGAAGACCATCCATTGCTTGAGAGCAGGGCCCTTTGTATTTCCTCCTCTTGCCTCCATGTCCCCCCACACTCCTGCCAGGATTTAGGGCTCAATAAATGTCTTCTCATCATAATTCCACCTTTGATGGTTCCCTCTTGCCCCTTGGGATAAAGGCCAGACTCCGTAGCCCATTAGACAAAGTCCTCGATTGTCAAATGCATCTTCTACGGAAGGGAACTAGACAGGCTGATGGGGGTCCTGGGAAGAGAGAAACTGCCAGACTTGCAAGGGCAGGTAGGAGCCACTGGGGGTGCGGGGGTTGCAACTCCAGCCACAGAGGGCCTAGAAGCTTCTATGGATCTCTGCAAGTCCTGAGCAAAGCTCTTCCCCTCCAGTCATCAGAGTCCCATCTATAAAGTGAGGCTTTCAACTAAGTGGTCCCCAAATACCCTCCTGACTCTGACAGTCTGGAACTTGGACAGGTGTCTGGAAGGCAGTCCCATCCATTGAACCGACGCAGATATAAACTGGAGCCTCAGTCCCATCGCCCCGGAGAATGTGAAACGAACTCAGTGACTCGTGCACCTGGCTTCACTCGGAAGTTCCTCCGGCATCACGTTAAACTGCTTTGCCAGAATCTCACATTTTTATTTGTTGCCGAGGATATTAGGCCAAATGGGCCAGCCACGTCAACAAACCCCACTACACGGCTGGTCTCGTCATCAGCGCTGTTTTATAGAAATGGGATTCATTATGTTCTGGCTGCGATTCAGAAGCCTGTTCTATTTTAACAACTGCGATAGCGCCAAACATTCATCTCCTCAAGAGATCGCCATGGCAAGTTCGGCCAGTGAGGCCCAGATTTATCTATGTTAGCAACATGGAACATTGGGGCGCGGAGGGGCAGACCTTGGAGATCTTTCTAGTCCAACCTCCTCATTTTGCAGATGAGGACCAGGAGGCCTGTGGTGGGGATGTGACTTGCCCAAGGACACCCAGCTGGTTGGAGACAGGATCCTGAGAAGATTCCAGATGGCCTCAGAGAGAGTACACACTGCTCTTGACAAGCTCAGTAAGTGCAGTTGACCCTTGAGCAACACGGCACGAACTGCACAGATCCACTTAGACACGGATTTTTTTTTCAGTTGACAAAGCGGTTCAAACGGTATTGTTCAGGGGCAGCAAGCCAGGGGCCCAGAAACTTTCCTGCCTTCTCTCCCAGTCCCAGCAATAAGAGCCAGTGTTTACTGAGCATATCCTGTGTGCCAGGCCCGGTGCTGAGTATTCTACACACATCGTACAATTCATCTTTACAACATCCCTGTACAGTAGGTGATATTATTAGCCCCATTTTATCAGAGGCTCAGGTGGGTCAAATCATTTGCCTAACCTCAGACCGCCAATGGGAGCAGACCCAGACTTGGTACTAATTTCTGAGCCTGAGCTCCTACCTCTCCCTGGCTGGTGAGGGCCAGGCCTGATCTGAAGTCGTGTGGGGCATCTATCTGTATGTCCCAAAGCCCCCAGCAAGGGCTCAGCACATTGTCAGGGCTCAGCAAATAGAGGAGGAAAAGAGGGAGAGCAATAGCTCTGGGTCCCCACTGTCAAGTTAACAGCATAAGCTTTGGGGGGATGCCACCCCTGGTGGAAGAGGTACCTTCTCTGTCTAAATAGCACCCCCTTTAGCTGGTCCAGTCATTCACTTACCGCTGACCAGCACCCACTTTTTGCCAGACACAGTGCCAGGCGCTAGGCCATCCTGGTGATTAAAAACCTCATGGTTTCCTATTTCATGGGAAGTCACACAGACATCCAAATCGAGCAAAAATCAGTGGTGAGAAAATGCAGTGGAATAAAGTCTGCATTTATAGTAGTAACAAGATGAAATACCAAATGAGAAAGGCCTAAGACCTTAGGAAGAAAACGTGAATACACTTTCTGAGACAAAAAGCAGACTCCAGCAAAGAGAAAGGCATTCCTACCAGTTTTCCTAAGTAAATTGATCATTTATACCGAGTCTAATAAATACAGGGAAAGGGGAGGCCAAAGGGGGTAAAAGGGGGCCAAATATATGGTGACGGAAGGGGACAAGACTTTGGGTGGTGAGCACACAGTGGAGTATACAGATGTGGTGTTATAAAGCTGTACACCTGAAACTCCTATGATGTCATTAAACCAGTTAGCCCAAGAAACTTAATTAAAATAAATAAATAAAAATAAGCTTCATTCTTAACACTGCAAGCTTACCCTAACGTTCATTTGAAAAAATACACAAGTCTAGCCCAGAGAACTGGAAAAGAAAAGCAGTGAGGAGAGCAGCCCTGCCAGGCACTAAAACCTATTACAAAGCCTCAGCAGTTAAGGCCCTGGCACCTGAACAGACACAGATTCGCCTGGGGATTTGTCTCCTGAAATAAGCATCTAAAGCAGGGAGGAGAGAGCACTAGTCAATTACTTGGTGTCGGGACAACTGGACAGCTCTCTAGAAAAGAATAAAAAAGTTGGATTCACACCTCCTATCAAATGCCAGAACAAATTCCAAAAGAATCATTGGTTTAAATGTAAAAATAAATCCATAAAACACTAAAAGAAAACAGAAGAAAATTCCCTTGTAAGTAAGAAGTGGGTAAGGGCTTTCGATGACTCACAATGCAGACTGTGTAAGGAAAAGACCAGCGCATTCGATGAAAGACTCCTGTGCAGGAAAACCACTACAGCAAAATCCCGAGACAAGGGACAGACTGGGAAACATATGTGCAACTCATATCACAGAGAGGAGCCAAGTCTTCCCGATTCACAAGAGCTCCTAGAACTGATAAGCAATCAAAAATCTAAGAAAAAAATGAGCCAAGGGTAAGGATAGCAGTTCACAGAGGAGGAAATACATATAAAAAAAGATGCCTAACCTCGCTCATAAAAAAGGAAATACAAATTAAAACTAAAATTGGTATCTACATTTCACCCACCAGACTGGCAAAAACTTTTCTCTCCCACTGTGTCGGTGAGGCCACAGCGATGGCGGGAATATACATCAGTGTAACTCCAATGGAGGGCAGAATTACAAATGACAAATCCAAATACCCTTTGAACGGGCACTTTACTGCACAGATATAGTTGGCACAGGCATATAGTGCCACATGCACAAGCTTAATCAAAAGAGCAAAAATAGGGGAAAACACGTCCCTCTGTAAGGCCTGGCTGCATAATTTATGGAACAATCACATGGTGAAATTCTATGCGGCTGTGAAAAAAGGAATGTGACGCTCTGTACAATTGGCACGATCGCCATGATATGCTGGGGTGACAGCAAGGTGCAAAAACAGTGTTTGTGGTGTGCCATCATTCGTGTCCAAAGGAAGGGAGCTGGGATTCTGCATCTGCTTGTACAGGCGGAAAGAATCGCTGAAAAGGTCAGTAACATTGGTTACTCGTCGCTGGGACTGGATGAAACTAAGTGGATGGGGGACCTGCATCTCGTTGTAGACATTTCGGTTTATTCCTGGTTTATTTTTAAACCATGTCACTGTATTTTCTATTCCAAAACAAATGTGACAGGTAAGTATACAATTGTCACTGTGGTAAAGACTAGGACGGAAAGGTGCTGGGGGCTCTGAGAGCCCAAGGGGGCCCTGGCCTGTGGCCCTGAGGAGTGGCATTGGAGCTGGGATCCCAAGCTCAGGAGGAACTAGCTAGGTGAACAGGCCTGCGGCCGGAGGAGGAAGCAGTACATGGAGGGGGCTGTGCCCATGGTACTTTGTGGCCAAGGAGCTGCAGCCCCCACCCCCAGCCCGGGATGAACTCGGCCTCTGGAACAGACTCGAAAGTCAAGTTCATGTCAGAAATCATAAACTGACCCTGCCCTCAGGGATCCGGGGGGCCCTCCCCACGCGCTGCCGTGGGACAGCCCTACCCAGCGAGGCCTGCGCTTCGCCAAGCAGCGGCCCTCCCGCCCGCGGGGCCTGCTGGGCACAGGTGGGGGCAGGCAGGAAGGGACGGTGGGCACACGGCCCGCACAGCCAGCAGAGCCGTAGAAGTGGAGCCCAAAGGGGGCTGTAGGGCAGCTCGTCCCGCCCCAGCCCCCTGATCCTTTGTGCCCCTGCCGCCTGCCCTGCCCTTGGCCTTGGGCTTTCCTCCAGAGCCCAGGGGTCGCACCCAGGACCGACCCCTCAGGAACAGAGGTCTTTCCCGGACTCACAGCAAAAACCCGCAAGGTGTTTTCTAGTCAGAACCCAGCTCTTTTCGGAGCATGTGGCCATGTGGCCTGAGGGCTCCCTGCTCCGGAGCCCCCGCCTGCCACGCAGGACAGGCTGCCGGGCCCCAGCTCACCTGAACCGTGGACCCTTCTCCTGGGGGAAGGCTGCAGAGGGGAGGCAGCAGCTAAATGAGGTCCCTGAGGAACGGTGAGAAAAGTCCAAAGTCCATTTGGCTGGAGAAAGGTACTTGAGGTTTGGAAGTTTGTGGGGAAAATTGAAAATGTGGAGGTGAATTAGGCAGAAGAAAGGGCTTGTTGGGGGCAAGTTCACAGTATGAGATGGCGCTTTCCCAGGCTCTTGCACTGAGAAGCCAAGAAGGGTGACCTGGCCACCCCCTGGTCACCACTCCCATGGGCACAGGCCAAGGAGCAGAAAGCCAAGGTCCAAATGGGCCACTCTGCCCCGACGTGTCTAGGAAGTTAGCCCATCCTCCACAGCCCTCGCCCGCATGGCCAAAGGCTGCTCCCTCCCCAGGGGTGCTCCAGACAGCTGAAGAGAGGACAGCTCGAGCCCTGGGTACAGAAAGACAGGTGAAGCTGAAAGAGTGCTGGAGCTGAAGTCAGAAAGCATGGGTCCAAGCACTGCTCCCAGCTCCTGAGACAATCACCTCATCTCCCTGAGCCCTGCCACCCGTAGGGGGTTTTAGAACCAATAAACTGCACCTACTGGGTACATGTGGGGATGAGAAGAAGGAAGATGCTCTGCATCCCAACCCTCTGGAGAGAAAGCCCAGTTATTTAGTGTGGGGAATATCCCTATTGCCAAGGGGAGGTGAGCCCCAGGCAGGCATGGCAATGTAGCCAGGGGCAGCCCAAAATCACTAGCCTATCAAGCAGCCCCACTGGCCCAGACCCAAGACTATATGCAGGCTTAGTGCAAAGCCCTATGGACCCCCACAGAGTCAACAAAGATGCAAGCCAGGCTGGAAAACCCTCCTGCTGGGCTACCAAAGCTAAGTCTGTCTCCCTCTCCTAAAAATCCCAGCTTTTCAGCCATTTGACTCCCTCCCCTTCCACTTCCTGCAGAAGGTAGGAAGGTAGAAGAGTCCTCTCAGGCATCTCTGCAGCTGGGAAGGCTCATGGCAAGCTGTGCATCCAAAATGCTCACCAGAGTTTTGATCCCTGGGTCCCCTGGCCAGTCACCCAAAGATTCAACTCCTGCCAAGCTCTGTGCTCACCCCAGGGGTCTGTTCCCTGGGATCCACATGTGTGTGTGGTTGTGGACAGAGCCGAGCCTCTCAGCTAGGTTCCCAGTCTACACTGCAGAAGCCCAGGCTGGTGCCTCAGCCTGGCCAGAGGCCAGGAGGAGCTGGCTGGGAGCAAAGTGTTGGCCAGGACGGTGCCCAGGAAGACCTGGAAGGCCCCTCTCCCCTCAGTTATAAGGCCCTGTGCTCTGGGAGGCAGGGGCTTGGCTGACCCTTTCTATGGGATCGCTGGCTTGTCTCTGCCCCCACGACAGGTTGGGGCCACAGGAGCACATCCCACTGTGCACACCTGCACGTCTCTGCCACACGCCCAACAGCACCTGCTGCCCTGCATGGGAAGAGCCCGTGCTGCTCGCAAAGCAGGTAAGTCAAGAGTTAGTTATGTTAGCTAAGCATTCTCCTAGTTGCTTGTTTATGGGTCACCGACTCAGAAGAGAATGCAACAGACTGAGAACATCAAAACGAAGAGCTGCTTGCTAGTTACATACGGGTCAATCAGAACCGCAGCACTCTTGGCGTTTTCCATGGGGAACTATGATTCACAGAATTCTGATTTGCACGCAGATCACCAGAATGAGGCATAAAAGAGGCGCATACCTGCCTGCACGCCCCACCGCGGCTTCCCCCACCACCCTGCACACCTGAGCGCTAGGTGTGCAGCCTGCTAACTGCATGGAGCCGCCTCTAGTGCACCGGCGCCCCCCACCCCCACCCCCACCCTGCACTTCCAGGGTAACCATGGGTAGCCTAGAGGGATAGGGCCTGTGCCCTGGCACATAATACCCCAGACTTCAGTTTGCCCCACGCACTTGAGCTAAAAATTTCCACATAAAAAGTTTTTTGTGGGCCTGCCAGGGCCAGATGGCGAAAGAATAAGCTTTAGCAGCCTGGATGGGGCGTCAACAGCAGCATCCGCAGGGCTTCAGAATCTCTCTTGCGAGAGCCAGGTCCCAGGCAAGGCCAGGAAGGAGCTGCCAGGGAGCCAGGGCGAGGCCTCCCGTCCAGAGGGCAGGCGGCTGCCAGGCCAAGCAGGCGGACACGCCAAAGAGGCTCCAGGCTCACTGCGACTCCTTCTCAAGAAGGTTGACTTGTCTTATGCCCCAGCAAGGCCTAATTGGGGGAGACTGAAGCTGGGAGATCCTACCCATCATCGCTGTCATTGCTGTCATAGTTGCCTTTTGTTTAGAGCCTCCTGTGCGCAGGGTGCTCCATGCATATTCTCCATTTAATTCTCACAACCAGGAAAAGTGCATGTGGTCATCTTCCCTCTAAACTAGACAAGGAAACTAAAGTTCCCAAAGGCTAAGAAACTCACCCAAAGTCACCTAGCCAGTCAGTGCTAAGGGAAGGCTGTGGAGCGGTGGGACTGGGACCCTGCTCTCCTGCTGCAAACCGGCCTGACAAGTGCTGAAGCCTAGAGCTGGGTCCACAGAGCGGGTTCTCCGGGTCCCCACCCACCCATCCACCTGCAACGCTGCCCAGGACTCGCCCTCGAGCCCAGGTTGTCCCTTCTTACGTGGCCGAAGGGGTCCAGGTGGTTGTTTGTCAGCTTCAGCTTCTGGAAGGAGACCAGCTGCCGCATCCAGTGGGCCCCGGTGGCAGGAGAATCCGGGTGGACATAGAGCCTTCCTGGCATGGCGGGCTCAGCCTTCCCTGCCACCATCCTGCCAACAGAGCAATCGGGCCACAGCAGGAGATCACCCTGGGGTCTGGGAAGCCCAGAGTCTCTGTCCCCTCTCTGAGAGCAAATCCCCACAGACCTGAAGAGAAAAAATCAATGCTGGTCCTATCACATTGACAATTTAGGACTTTGTGGGTAGCAGGAGGGACAGAAGAGAGAGTGAAAGAGAAAGGGAGATTACAGAGAAATGCCATTACTTACTACAAGGAGTGGGGCGAACCACAAATGTATTATGGGGAGATTTAAGCAGCACTTACCTGTGTTACATAGACAATTTAGAAATGTTACAAATTATATTGTTTGGAGGGAGCTTCTCAGGGGACCTAGACAACTTTCAGGTTGCTTGCCCCCAAAACAATGCTTGCCCCAAAGAAATTCATTGGTAACTGTTCCCTCAGCCAGAGCCTGCGCTGAGTGCGAATCCAGCCACCGAATCCACCTAGCCTCTGCGGGCCCCACAAACCACCCACCATGGAGCCCACATCCTGGGGCTGCGGATTCATTTGATCCCTTGCTCTCCTTGAGTGCTGTCCTGGGCTCTGGGGGCAGAGAGGGCACCAAGGAGGTGGTCTCAGGAAACAGAGCCCATTGTTTATTTACCCAGCCCCAGTCTGGTTTTGCCCTTCAACCCAGCCCTTGCCAAAGGGTCCCACCATCCAACTACCGGGCAGAGGCCCACTGACTCTGAGTGGTGGACACACACTGCAGCCAGACAAAGAGGGAGTGAGTGGAGGAACAGGAGAGACGCCACAGAGCAGGCAGCTGGACCCCCCGGAAAACAGCTCCCGTCCTCCCCACGAAGCACTGCCAGAGCCTAAATCCTGGGGTGGGTGTTCACCTGTCACCCATAGCCCTGTCACCAAACCTGTTTGTCCACAGCTCTGGGGAGAGCACAGACCCTGAAGTCCACCAAACACCCAAACACTGCAGCTCAGTGCAGCCCCAGCCCGCCTGCAGCAGGTGTGCAGACATCTGCTGACCCCCCCGGCTACAGATCTGGACAGTCACTTGGACTAACTGGGGAGTCCATGGAGCAAACATCAGGTGGCGAGGGGGGTGGTGAATGGAAAGAGCAGCGGAGGGAAGGCAGGTAACGTGAGGGCCCCAGGTTCTTACCATTTGTTGTCACAGAACTTGTAGCGGTGGTCATCCGCAGGAACGATGTCAATCAGCAGGATATACTTGGTCTTGGGGTTCATGCCCGTGACTTTTACCTTGTAGCTGGGGAACATCCTCCTGGGGGAAGCCACAGGGTGAGGCGGAGGCATGGACAGAGCACCAGGGAAGAGGGCACAGAGTGAGCCAGGGTGCAGAAGGCCTGAGGGGCACTGCCCCTATAGCAAGAGGTCGTGGCACCAGTCAGAGCTGTGTGACCTTGTGTAAGTCACTTCACTCCCTGGCCTCAGGCCCCCTACACAAGGAGAGGGGTGCACTGCCACACTGGGGGCCAGAGCAGAAGACCTGGATGTCCCTACCAGCCACCTCTGTAATTAATGAGATGTTTCCTCGAGTCATGTTTCTGTGGAAACCCTCAGGCTCCAAACCAACTTGCAGGAGAACAGGAGAGTTCTGCTAGGTCTTTGGATTCCATCGGTGTGTTTGGCAGAAATGTTAACCCTGTGGGCACCTGGACCTGGCTTGCCCATGCTAACTGGGCACCAGGGGAAGTCAGTCCAGGAGCCTCCTAGAGCACAGCATGGATTCTGGAACCACTGTGCCATGGTCCACAGCCTGGCCCGCCATGGATAAGCTGGGAAGCCTTGGGCAACTAGCTCGGCTCTCTCTGTGCCTCGGTTTCCTCATCTCTAAGATGCGGATATTACTGTGTACCTCATGGGTTGCTGTATGGATTAAATGAACCCATGTATGACAATTACATGGACCCTACCGTGCTCCTCTCTCCACAAACCAGTGGGATGACCCACCTCTAAGGAAATGGATTCACCAAGAGACAAAGTTTCCCAGTCCCTGCAGCCCATGCTGAGACTTTCCAGGATCCTGAAGCTCAAAGAACATTCTAGAGCAGAGCTTCCCCAGACCCCCTGGCACACACACACATAAGACAGGATGTACGCACACCTGCAGGGCACAGCCCCGTCCCCTGGCCACCAGGTCCCCAGCACTGGACTTCCCCAGAGGGGCAGACAGAGCCTCCTCACAGTTGTCTCAGATATCCCATCCCTCCTAGATGATCTGCCACAAAAGTGTTCCCTGAGAGAGGCAGGATCCAAACCTAAGTGAAGACATGAAGGGCCACCAGAGCCAAGTCCCCTGAGCTGGGGGCGTGCTAACCTGTCCCCTCCAGGAAAGCCATCAGGTGGTCCTCTGACTCTCACTAAGCTGAGCCAGTCCAGGGACCCTCAAGAGAAGCTGTCCTGGACACCTCAGACGGATGGCTGGAGTCGCCCATTCTGTCAACAGGGGCACCGGCTTACCTGGACAGGGCAAGGCTTCCAGAAGGGGTCAAGAGTTCCATAAGCCGGCAGACCCCACAGCAAGCCCAAGTCAGGACCCTGAGGTGGGGGTCCCATTCCCCTCCCTAGCCCGGCCCGGCCGTGCCCCCTTCTTGCTGGAGGAGAGGCGGCGGGAAGCTGCGGCGCGGGGATGTGGGGGGCGTGTGCCCATGTGCAGGCACAAGTGCGTATGATTGAGTGGAGGCGCCGTGCGCCTGCGTGCATGTGTGCGTGCCTGGAGGCAGGAGGGAAGTTCTAGCTGCAAGTCTAGGGACTTATAAACCGTGTGGAAGAATTTGTCTCAGATGTCAATTGAAAGCATTTTCAAATGTCCACCCCACCCCCTCCCCAGGAATGGGGGAAGCGCGAGGGCTCAGGAACCCAATCCTGCCTCCTGCTTGCCAGCCCCCGCCTGGCCTGGGGGCACAGCTGGAGCCCGCACCACCCTCTTTCCTGGCCCAGCCTCTCCCCTGGTGGGCCTAGCGCTGAGAGAGGGAGGCAGCAGCTGCTCACCTCCCCACCTCCCCGGGGGAGGGCCAAGCACCCCGTCCTTTCCAGGCCACCATTTTGTAACCGCCACGGAAACAGCCACAAAATGGGGCAGCCCTGGCCGCGCGTGGCTGCCCAGTACCAGTGCCCCGCGCGTGGCCGGGGGCTCCTGTGATCACTCCAGGCGGGCACGGCTTCCCCCAGGCTAGTGCCCACAAAGGAGGCCGCAAGAGTAGGCTCGCTGCGGCTTCAACAGCCTTCACCGGCCGAGGGGCCGGGTCCTTCCTCCCGCTCCTGCTCCCCTCGGCGCTCCTGCCAGCGGCGCAGGGGCCAGGCTGGCTCGGGGCTTAGCCGGCCAGCCCAGCCCGCGCCGGGCCCGCCAAGGCGGGGCGCTGGTGTCCTGTGACTGGGCTTCTAGGAACTGCCTGCAGACCGGATCCCGGCCGGTACCTGTCTGGGGGAGGTCTGTGGGTGCTGGGGCAGGGAAGGAGGGCGTCTCCCCGCCTCTGCCTCCCCGCTCACCGATTCCCCCCTCTTAGGCAGGATATCTGGTCTGAACGGGGGTTCGGAAGTCCTGGAGAGGCTCCCCTGGGACTCTGAGCTCCGGCCCTCCATGGAGACTATCTCCTCTCCGCAGGTCCCTTTGGTGCCCGCCTCTGGGCCCTGGGGCGCACACCCAGGACCAGGCACAACCGCATCCCCTCTGGGGGCTCCAGAAGGAGGGAGGCTGCCCGGCGTGGGGAACCGGCTGAGTGTGAGGGTGAAACACCCCCCACCCACCGCGCAGGCTGCTGCCCAAGCCGAGCATCTGCCCCTGGCCCCAGGAGTGGCTCAAGTCGGAGCCCAGAGGCGGGTGCGGGAGGAGCCGCAGGTGGGCTGCGCTCGGCCGGGGCCCTGGGCCTGGGGCCTGACTTCCTCCCGGCGCCCCTGCACCGAAAGGTCCTTCTGCTGAAACAGATGAAACGGTGGAGTGAGATGTATATTGTCTCTGTGATTTAGGACGTAAAATATACCTGAAAGCCAACACCTACGGCGGAAATGAGCACCTGGGCGTGGGGAGGGGGGTGATGGCTCTGACGGCCGTGCCCACGCAGCCGCCCACCGGCGCCGCGAGCCCAGCCCTGGCTGGGGTCCCCCACCCTGCGCGCCCCACC